GGGGGTGGGGGTGGGGCGATTTGCTTTTTTATTGACTTTGAGATGAGTATAAATATGAGTATACCCTTTTAGGTTTAATATGAGAGTTTCTATGGTATCTCAATATCTTCCAGAATATGTGCCTTTTTGTTTTTTGAGGTCTTTTACCAAATTCCCTTATCATTCTTTTGTCGGCTCTCCAGCAAATGCTATAAGATCTGTAATTATGGTTTTTAATGAAATAAATTCTTATTAAATGCATAGAACCTACAGAATTTGATATGGTCAACCTTCTTAAGATTTGAAGTGAGATTAGACAGGATTGTGATACCTAATGCAGGGAAATCTGATATGGTCTGTTTGTTTTTAGAACAAAATGTTTTCTTTTCTTGATCAATAACTTTTGGTTTCTTGTCCAAACATATTTTGGTTTGTTTTACTTGTAACAAGGACACATTTTGTTTTCAAAAATATAAAAAGAACAATCAAAATACAANCCGGGCTAGGCTCAGTGGGGAATGACATGGTAGTTGAAGATGTAACACAGAATTGATATGGAATTGTTGAAATAGAGGAGTAATGTGTCCTGATAAAAAAATAGAGGAGTAATGTGAGTGATATGTGATAGGAAAGTACCTAACAAAGTGAGACAAGTTTTATAAAACGGTTGTGAGAACTGAGACCACAATATTATATGGGAAAATGTTAGGGCTCATAGGATGATTGTTGTAGAATCCAGATGCTATCATGATCATACAAGAACTTATTGTAAAAAATTGGTCATACCAAATTTGATAATATTAGAAACGATCACATCCAACGAAAGGTGCAACTGCAGTTACACAAAGATTGCTTAATACAAGAAACTCTTTAGAGAAGAGATTGTAATCTTTGCAGCAGGTGGCAGATGCTACCATTGTGAACAACATAGTCAATTAGTTAAATATCTCCTTCTGCACTGCAGACATACATGGAAACTTTACAATGTTTTTGAATTTATATGGAGTCCAGTGATCCAAAATAGACTTTGTTAGCTGGTAGGGGTAGAGGTTATGAAAAGAAAAACAGAGGTGATATTGGAAGACTATTCCTCATTGTGTAGTTTGGACGATGTAGAAAGAAACCATAGACGCGTTGTGAGGAAAATGAATGTATCTCTTATGTAAAGTTAAGATATCCTTCACAATTTGTAGTTTTGGTGTATGAAGAATGTTTAGACTCCTTACACAAATAAAAGGAATCAAGTATACAAAGTTATGTACTTTCCAGTACTTTTGTGGTACTGTTTCTTTACTAAAAATTCTCTTTTTCTATCGTTAACTTCTTTAGTAAAACTTTTTGTAGTGGAAAAAATGAGAGTACGCTGCCTGATATCGTTGTCTTATATAGTCTTCCAAATAGACTGGTCCATATGTGCGATATTATTATCGTTAAATATGCTAAAAGGGGATGGGATAAACCTAAGATAAGATCCACGGAGGCGAACTCAGCGTGCCTCAACTAAGAATAGAATAAAATGGAAGGAAGTCCATGGGAGAAAATGGTTCAAATTCCAATCCAGTAGAGACAATGATATTAGGTGATTTTTTCTATCTACCTGTAATGGAAGCAAACAATCCATATAGGCTATTAAAGTAGCCGGGACTAATGCTTTACTATTGTTGTTACACTTATATTAGGTCCAATGTTTGTCTGTAGATGTCACGAAGAGAAGTGACCTTTAGTTTAGAGAACTCTCAATTCGCCTTAAAGACACATTATTTAGTATTGCAATGAAAGAAGCCTAAATCTAGCACAACTTACGTAGAAGATTCATGCATTTGATTCTGACTAGTTTGGGATATAGGCACAATTGATTGTTTGATATTAATTGAGGGCGATTATTTTCAATATCTTCCTTCGCGGAATCCTTTGCCTTGAGCAATTTGTCTTTAAATTTATCACCTGAAAGAATATTGCTCAGTGTAGAAAAATCTAGTTTGTTGGTTTTATTGCATTATACTTACTGTCCCGTTAAAATTTTTAGTTTTTGGAACTAATTAACAGCATATCTGAGTCAGTTTAGTGCTGATATTCTCAATATTGTTTACAATTTGTGAGTGGGGGGCCTGTGGTTGGACTGGAAACCAAGTATAGGCTTAAGACTAAGCTGGATCATGTATAAATGTAGAAAGAGTAGTTTATCATTATTTATGCTAGTTATATGGGCCGTCGGCCTACATGATGCGATTTATTATTCATGCTTGTGTTTGACGTTCCATGTAACTTATTTTTCCTTGGGTTGTTAGAATTTAAACCAATTACTAAGGAAATATGCAAGTTGCCGTCGTTCTTCTCAAGGGCTCTTTTTAGGAAGATTGATGTTGATGGAACGGGCATTATAACAAGGTATTCTTTCTTGTTAATTCTCAAGATGATTCGTTTACTGTTTTTGGGTAATTCCTAGAAGGTCATCTGCACCTTTGGAACGTGGATGAAAATGTTGGGATTAAGGGCATCCTTTTCTTCCTTTCATCCTTCAATATGTCTTTTCGACCTCCGGTAACGTCCTTCTATTTGATATATAATACAGTTCCTTGAGTAGATATATCCTTCTATATATTTGATAGTTTGAGTGACTTAATACTATTGTAGTAAGCTCCCTTCAGAGGAGTTTTGTGTAAGGGAGGAATTATTTCATAGGAGTTTTATTTCTCAAACATTTAAAGTGTATTAACTTAATAGGTTTGTCTGTTGTTTTCGATAGTTCCAGTTAAGACAGCTCCTTTTGGTCTGTATCTGTAACTCTTTGCTTTGTAAACTTATAACCTTCTCCCGTGTTTATTTGTAACTACTAACGCTTGAAAAGAGAAACTCGGAAGTGACAGCAGATATAGGGTACTAGTAATGCAGAGTATACCTGAGCATTTAGTGTTAATTCATTTCTGACAATGTCTGGAACTCTTTTTTCAAGTAGTTTGCTGATGCTATTTGCTTAACATGGCTGTAGGGATGCCTTTGTTGATTATTGGATCAACGGAAACATGTTGACAAAAGATATAGCAACCCAGATTTACACAATCTTGAAGCAGCCAGATCTCAAACACCTGACGCAGGTGCTTTCTCTACTTTGTTTGTTATTTGTTTGACTGACTTGTTACAATTACTTTATAGTTTCTTACTCATCCTATCCAAAAGAGCTAAAGATTTGGTCTGATTCATGATTACATGGAGATTAATTTTCTGCAACAGAAAGGTTTTGTAGATTGCTAGATCTGTTTTTTCCTTGTTCCAATTGAAACTTCAACCAATTTGATTGTAGGATGATTTCAAGCCTGTTCTTCAAGAGCTTTTGGCAACACATCCCGGGTTAGAGTTCTTACGGAGCACGCCTGAATTTCAAGAGCGATATGGTACCTTCTCAATGTTATACTGTATTAATTGCTGATGCCCTCAATTAATTTGATATTTCTTACGTCGTTAAAAATTTGCATGTGGAACTTTGTGCCCTTGAATTTGACAGATGTTTTGTGGGATGTATATTACCACTGTCCTACATGAGCTGTTCTATTAGACATCCCTATCAACTAATATCTTGAGAGGACCATTACATTTAACCAAAGCAAATAACTAGAAGTGCTACAGGTCCCCCAGTTTGCTGTAGTTTTTTTGTTTCAGTGCTAGATTAATTCGTGAGGTGTGAGTTTCTCTGATGAACTTGACAGTAATTTTTGAGGCAACTATATGTTGAACTAAGTATGCTGTGTTACTCATCCTTCTAACGGTTTCTAGCTGTGCCATCTCGCATCCTCAAGTACCATTTCTGGCCTTTTGGTACATCAAGCACGAGAACTCTAATTCCTCGGCAAAGCTTTCTCGTCTAAGACTTGAAATTTCCTTTAGTTGCTCTCTCTAAAGGAGTCCCATTCAAACTAGATTAGCTAGCCTTTTTACCCGTCACCCTTTTTGCGGGGCTCTGTCAGCATGCTTGGTTTGGGACCATTAGGAATGGAGTAGATAGTCTTTTTTTCTATCTTAACAGTTGGAATGAACATTGTATTTAAATACCTGTTTGTAACATAGAGGGGTTACAAACTATTTTACTCTGTCTTAACAGTTAATTTTCTTGCATTGGCCAGCTGAAACTGTAATATACAGAATATTTTTCTACGTGAATAGATTGGGTAATGGTCAACTTACCCTCAGGGAGCTGAAGCGTTCAGACCTAATTGCTGCAATGCAACATGCAGATGAAGAAGAAGATATTAACAAGGTCCTTAGGTAAATATCATTGCAACGGGATTGACTTAATATAGAAATGATAAAAGTTCACTGATTTCTTCTTTTTGGGAAGCTTTAGAGATTCACTTCTGCTATGTCACTTGATGTGATCTGTTCTTGTTTCTTTGCCTTGTAAACATCCAAATGTCTATGTCACGGGATTTAATGACACATGTTTATGTGGCGAATGGTGGTGCGAGGAAATTGTACTTCTTTGACTAGTCATAGAAAGAAGATAGAAAAAATGCATTATACATCACATGGTTAGCAGATCCATTTTGGGAGATAAACATTACAAAGCACATCACAATTTTTGCAGATTACTTTGAAACTCTGGCTTCTCATGAAAACTAAGTCAAACATTCTGCTACTTTCTTTACCTTTTAGAGTTTGTTCTACTGACTTTGGCTTGACATTATACTCCCTGGTAACGTCGGTCAAGTTCTTTTTACTTCTGCCATTCAAGCAAATACATCTGCCACGTCATTGAGCATCTTATTTTTGCTGCAGGTATTTCTCTTACGAACACTTTTACGTGATATATTGCAAGTTTTGGGAGCTCGATACGGATCATGATTTTCTGATTGATAAAGAGAACCTCATTCGATATGGCAACCATGCCCTTACATACAGGATTGTTGATAGAATATTTTCTCAGGTTGGAGTCTTCCTTGTACTCTGTTCGTCACTTATCAATTTGCCTTGCCTGCTTTAATGAATAAGTTGTTGTACTTTTAGGAATGCTTGTTTATCACGTTATAAGGAGTTCATGTTTTAATTTTCTTTCGTCCCTTGGGGATATCCAATAAAATTGGAACGGCACAGAGAGGATTAGCATGTTGTAATGTTTTTGTCAGGTTCCAAGGAAGTTTACAAGTAAAGTTGAAGGAAAGATGGGTTATGAAGACTTTGTTTACTTTATATTGTCGGAGGAGGATAAAACGTCAGAGCCTGGTCTTGAATACTGGTAACTTTCAGAATTAACATGAAACTCTTTTTCAAGCTCCATGAAAATTTGAACTTTTTCTCCTGATTCTTTTATAGTGGAGCATTTGGATCTTTTTTGATGAAGATGGAGCATTCGAGTCTCTTTACATCATTACTGTGATTTTTTTTCCTTCTGAGCGGAGATTATGTTACTAATGTTCTTTCTTGATGAAGGAACTGATTTCAACTACCCATGTCAATTTAATGACTGCAGTTGATTAGTGGATTCCTTCTGTATTCTGCTTCCTAATTTATTGAGTGAAAAGAGAAGGGGGAGTAGATGTTGGTGAATGTTTTCAAAAAACACTTTTGTTTAGGAAATTAAATTGGCTCTCCAATAATTAATAGCATTAGGAACACCAAATATGCTGGTACTTGGAAGTATATGATATTATTATTGTTCGTAAGACTAATATGCTTGTGCTAACCAGGATATCATGAGTATGAACAAGGTTTTGCTTGCAAATTACCTACTTCTAGTTCTATCATATATTTGTTGCACTTAGATTCTATGCCCTGTTTGTTTTCAGCAGTTATTTTGTTCTGCTAACTTTGTTAGTGGCTCTTTAGCTTTTCTTGGTTTATTAGACAGACTTATTTGTGTATGCAAGCATTGGTGTGCTGTCTTGTTTCATCATAGGTGGCGAGATAATATGGATTATTACGGACTGGAAGTCAAATTGCTGGTTTGTTGTATGTTGAAAGTTAAGAGTATTTCTATCAGGAATTATCGCGACAGTCAGGGAAGGCCATTTAGTTGATTGTGTTTTGCATTAGTGTTGCTTGAATTCAGTTCATTTCAGCTAAGAATTTAGGCAAAGCAATGTCATTATAGAATGACGAGTCCCCTTCAGAAAAATAGTCAATCGTATTGTTGTGGGACATGCACAAACTCACAGATGACACTGCCTTTCTTTTCTATATCTCAATTTATTTTATGGGCAGGTTCAAATGCATAGATTTGGATGGGAATGGTGTTCTGACTAGGAATGAAATGCAATTTTTTTATGAGGAGCAGTTGCATAGAATGGAATGCATGGGCCAAGAGCCAGTGCTTTTTGAGGATATATTGTGCCAGATGGTTGACATGATTAGTCCAGAGGTAATCTTGTTTTTTCACATGTGATGTCTTTATCATGTTGTGTCCTTTACATGCTGTGACATATTCATCAGATTAATGCTTTTCTTCTCTAATGAAAGAAAACTTCTAGTTGACCTCTTTTGGCACCTAACTTGAAGTTTGTAAGTTGCATTCTCTGAATGGTCTTTTTTGTGAAAGAAGGTGATGCATAAGTTAAAGTTAGTGAACTGTATTTCTTTTTAAGCTGTCTGGTGGGAGTTTGACAGTCAGATTTTATCTTCTTGATGGTGAAGTAATTAACCAATGTGCTGAGTAATTTCTTAGTCAATGGTCCTGTGGAGATTAGAAACACAACAGATCTGTTTCCTTCCGTAAATGCATGATTAATTTGGGAAAGAAGTTGTCGTTTTCTTTTCCAATTGAAATAATTAATGCCATTCTTCAACTCTGTATTGTTTGACTTGATGCACGATATATAATCTGCACCTGTTTTAATTTGTACCATCTGGGTAAATTTTCAAGAAGGGTTTTTCGAAAACAGCCTCTCTACCTTCATAGGTAAGGGTAAGGTCTGCGTACACACTACCCTCCCCAGACCCCACTTGTGGGATTCTACTGGTTTTTTGTTGTTGTTGGGTAAATTTTCAAGAATGATACATAACACTGAATTTTCCTTACTTGCAGGATGAAAGTTATTTTATGTTACATGACTTGAAGGGCAATAAATTATCCGGCAGTGTTTTCAATATACTCCTTAACCTCAATAAGTTCATGGCATTTGAAACTCGCGACCCATTCCTAATACGTCAGGTAATTGAAAAGTTAATGTTTGATTAATAAGTAAATGTGGCTGTTCTACATTCCTTCATCATTCTTACCAATGTATTAACATGATTTTTCTTTTTGTTCCAGGAGCGCGAGAACCCGAATTTGACTGAGTGGGATCGCTTTGCACACAGGGAATATATTAGACTCTCAATGGAGGAAGATGCAGAGGACGCCTCCAATGGAAGTGCAGATGTCTGGGATGAATCACTTGAGGCTCCTTTTTGAGTTTAGTTGGCAAGGTGGAAAGGTATGGACAATCCATTTATCTGCATCTCCTTCAACTGGTACATATTGTAGATTGATAGTTCTGTGAATCAGTATCTCTCTGGTTGTTGACTCCATGTCCACTCTTTAATATTATGAAACTGCTATAAGAAAGTATTAGACAAGAGTGGGTTGCTCTAGTGGTGAGCACCCTCCACTTCCAACCAAGAGGGTGTGAGTTCGAGTTACCCCAAGAGCAAGGTGGGGAGTTCTTGGAGGGAGGGAGCCGAGGGTCTATCGGAAACAGCCTCTCTACCCTAGGGTAGGGGTAATGTCTGCGTACAAACTACACTCCCCAGACCCTACTAGTGGGATTATACTGGGTTGTTGTTGTTGTTGCTATAAGAAAGTCTAATACTTGACTAAACTTGCAAACAAATGGGATGACTAGCCCATTTGGATGATACTAAATCATCGCTGAATTAGCATAATATGTTAGGGCTGGTAAAAAATTTTAAGCAAGCTGTTCTAGTTTTTCCCCTCCTGGGCTATAAAAGTATTTTACATAATGCACTTTAGTGACGTGAGCCTGTTCCTTCTAAAATACTTGAGAAGATGAGAAAAATACATTCTTCTGAGCATCACATATAAAATGCTGTCTGGAACTGAACTCATAAAAAAACTGATAGACTCCCCAGGTGAAAGCAGAACCCTTTTTTATCAGAGATTATTTAGTAGCCAAATGATGGGATCCTGATCTCATTTTTAGTTGCAATACAAGTACATACCTAAGTTTACCGTTCATTTTAGCTTAGCTAATTTGGCCACCTATTATTACGTGTAGTCCTCCACAAATTCTAATCACTTTCATTTTATTTATTTAATATGAGTTGGAATGCCCTAGACATAATGTGACTATTGCTACACCAGAAGGCTGACCTCTTGCTTTTAAAATTTCTACTAGTTTCCAGGAAGGTGTCTGCCTCGAACTTTATCTCAAGCTAAATTTTGAGCTGCAAAAGTGAATTTTGCACAGAAAAGAATCATGTGGGACAAGCTGCTCTCTGTGTTACACCAAGATGTTCTCTTTGAGATAGCCACAGAGGAATTTTTGATTGGTCTGCACAGAGCATGCTCTCGAGATGTTTCTGTCCATGCTAGTCTGAAAGCTGCCAACATGAATTATCAAGGGCTTGGCAAATGGACGATTGGTGATTGACTGTCAAATGTACCTTCCGGTAATTCGGAACTTTCACATTTGTTCTCTCTTTAGCTGTAAGAAATCAATGATATTAATTATTTGTTGTAGTTCCAATTTTTAGCGGTTGCAGATACCACAACCTTGTTTTCTAGATGAGGTTTAGTGTAGCGAGTGTCAATGCGCCATGTTATCTGCTTTTTGTTCCCTTTTTGTGGTCTGTGAATCTTGGTAGCTGTGTATGAGCTGCAATGATATTCCTCTCTTTCTTTGTCCTGCTACTTAGATGTTGACCTCAAGGATGTATAATTTTGCTGACAAATGGCATTGTTGATTTATTAGTCACAGGTCATAAACTTGTTCTAGTATCATCATGCATTAGCCTTTGAATTTGGTTAAGCAAGAATGAATTGAAATGCATGTCCTTTGACTTGGCAGTCCAAGAGAAGGCAATAAAAAGGATATCCACATGCTTTTTTCCAATAAATTCAGGTTTAGATGAGGTTTTCGTAGTTGGTCCTAAGTTTGTATAAAAAATAGACGAAGGTCGCGGTAAGTTGACCTTCAGTTGGATACTCATGATATGATAAATTCTCTTAGACATTGAATGAAATCGGTGTTGTCAACGGCATGCGCTTAAAGCACGCTTAAGCCCTTGAACGAGGCACAAAACATGTTTAGCGTTTCGCCTCGCTTGGCGGGCATTTTAATTTCGTCATCAAGGCTCTAAGACATTTTTCTTTGCTAATGAGTGTAATCTTGAGGAGGTGACACTAAACAATTGATATTTCACTTTATCACAATCTTTTCAATTTCTTTGTCCATATGTTTGTTAATTATGCTTATAATTATTAATCTTGGATTACACATACATATTTGTATTTTTGTCTCTTTTTGTGACTTTCTTTGTTAAAGCTTATGCTTTATTTGCGTTTTTTACTTACAGCGCCAACCAACTTTAGAGCTTTTTTGTGCTTTTCGCCGTTGATAATCACTCAATAAAATGTCCAAAAGGGCGAATATAGTGAAGTAAAAGGCGTAGGTATCCTAGTTAATTTGGAATAGTTTGGAATTGAGGCACAATTGATGTAGTACTAAGGAGATCATAAAAGGTCAGTTTTGTTCATTTCTCATCATTATTACAACCTTTTTTTGCCCTTTTCATGACATATTTGTGCGTGCCTCCAGTTTTCATCTCAAAAGCAGAGCGTGAGAATGGTGCTGCCTGAACCTTACCATATTGCGCTTTAAGAAACATAAGTTTGTAAGGGTGGAATAAGTAAAAAACTTAGGCAAACTTATTAAATACATGACATGCATTATATATAAATTGTAATCAGTGAACTATTATAGTAAATTAATGTTATTTACTGTATAACACCAGTTGTGAGTGAGAATTAGATAGTAGGCCATAAATAAACTTGTGATATTTGTTATACTTATAACGATTAGCTAGCTTCACCTCGTCCAATTTGGAGCTCAATTTTGTCGACAAGATCAATTAGTAATTTATAAAGCATGAATAACTCTCCAAGATGCATACGGAGATACTTCTCTTTCTCATGCTATTTTCGTAAGTATATAAGGTAGAAATAGTTAATCAATAGTATATAATTACGAAACTAGGATTTTAAAATTCGTCTGTAATTGCTTCCTTTTTTGATAATTTATTTCATGATGGTTATGTCTGTGCTAGCTTGCGTACACATCTACTGTTTTGTCGAGTATATGCTATCTTCTATCAATACGAGTACTTGGTGATCTTGTCCACAACGACCTAGGCAGATCAAAAGAACTCTTCAAGAGTTTTTTCAAGGTTTGTACTCACTTTATTGAGCACTAGGTTGCGATCTTGGATGCTCACATAATTGAGATGGAGTGGAGCAAGCTTTGATTGAACACATCATGAGATTGTTGAGATTTGATCTTGTACCTTGTTATCTGAACTGTGACATCTTGATCATTAAATTGTTTCTTGGGACGACTAGAATGCTCTCGCTAAATTTGATTAATGATTAACTTTCGTTAAATAAAGTTTCAAAGGCAAAATCTAACTAAGCTACCTTACAAAAACCTATGCTCATTCTTAACTATATTCTCTTCAACAGAATCATCACCAACTTTAAGAATCAAATACTTATATACTGGTGCGGACGTCACAATCACAACAAAAAGGTTTCTTGATGCACTTTTTTAATACATCTAAAAGATGTTTATACTTGATAATGTGAGATTAAAAAGAATTAGTTGTTAATGAAGCGAGTTGAAATTATAGGAGAATCACCTGATCTATATTTGACTGATTGAATCCCTCTTCTAATGCAGACTGACTCAAGTAGAAAGATTAGTTTATTTTCTCTCCTTACTTCTAAAGAGGGAGAGACGGGAGCTTTGACGTAACTGGTAAAGTTGTTGCCATGTGACCAGGAGGTCATGAGTTCGAGCAGTAGAGATAACCTCTTACAAAAATGCAGGGTAAGGCTGGGTACAATAAACCCTTGTGGTTCGTCCCTTCCCCGGACACGCGTATAACGGGAGCTTAGTGCACAAAGTAATTATTCGTTCGAGACCGAGTATGTAATTAGAATTATTTTTACCAACAAGAGGAGACTATCATATGTTATAACAGCTTAAAGGATTAATTTATCTTTCTCATTAGAAAATAAAAATAAAATCTCTTAGGCCTTGTTAATAATCATCTTTAATACCTTTAACACAAATGAACTTCCTAGGTAGAGACACCATATTTAAAGATGTTTGTTACGGATTGTACTTTGAAAGAGCCATTACAATGATGATGGCAAAAATAAAAAGCTTCCAACTCTGTCCATTTTAGAACAGTTCCACATGCTAGAGGGGACCAATCTCAAGCATTGCATGTGACTTTCTGTGCATGCCTTCTTTTATATGTCTCTATTTGTTAGTGTGTGTTTGTGTGTACGCGTCGTGACGTAAGCAAGATTTTTTCGTAAGCGCTATCAATTTAATGTATTTTTACATAATATTATATGTATAATAATATTTTTTTGTGACAAAATCATGTCGAATAACACCACTTAATTTTGTGTGCCTTCGGGCTCGTTTGGTACGAAAGATAAGTGTTAATTAATCTCGGAATTAAATTTGATATGAGTTTATCCCACGTTTGATTGTGATAAAATCGCGGTATAACTAATCCCTGGATCAGTTATCCCGAGATTGTAATGTTATTTTTGTTCCTATGTGAGGGTAAGATAAGTAATCCTCGGACAATTAATTCTGAAATAATTATTTTCCCAATTAAACGACCCTTAAAAGTCTCTTTTTTTTTTTT